ACCCCGGGAGCATCCATCCCGTCCCGGGGGCATCCATCCCATCCCGGGGGCATCCAGCACCTCCCGGGGGCATCCATCCCATCCCGCGGGCATCCCCTCCCGGGTCTGTCCATCCCCTCCTGGATCCATCCCCTCCCGGGTTCATCCATCCCTTCCTGGATCCATCCCCTCTCGGGTTCATCCATCCCCTCTTGGATCCCTTCCTGGGTCCATCCATCCCCTCCCGGGTCCATCCTCACACGGCTCCATCCTCACGAGGCTCCATCTGTCCCCACCCGAGTTCTTCCCCTCCTTGGTCCATCCTCATACAGATCCATCCTCATGAGGCTCCATCCATCCCTTCCAGGATCCATCCCCTCCCGGATCCATCCCCTCCCGGGTTCAGATGACACGAGGGAGCATTTCTCTAGTGTTTAAAAGGCATTTAAACAATGTTCATAATAACACACGTAGTTTGTTTTGTCCTGAAGAGGTCAGACAGTTGGGCTGGATGCTATTGTAGGTCCCTTCCAAATGAACAATCCTATTTATTTCCTACACACTTGCAAAGATAGATTTGGAAGCTTTGACATGAAAGGGTTAGAGGACCAGCAGAGTTGATAACATGTGAAAAAATTAAGGCCTTTTATGCTAAATTTCCTTTGCAGTACTAAGTCCACAAGTCTCCTCTGTGTGTGCCCTTACACATTAGCTTGGTTTCAGTTAAAAAATGCCATTCCAACTCTGCAGCAATCGTTGCTCTCTCAGCTCCTGCCTGTCCCTCTGATCACTCCCTCTGCCCTGCCCCACCTCATGCTGGAGGATGTTGGGGTACCAGCAATCACCCAGAGGCTTTGCTCAGCTCAAGGCCCATCCAAAAGCTGATGGAACACGAGCACACACGTGTCTGTTGAAGCAGCAGCTGCCAAAAACCTTTTATGAACACAGAGTGCTGTGGAGGCAAACACAGCCCAAAACAGAGCGTGGCCACAAAGGTGGAAGAATGCAGGGAACAAACTTGTGTCTCTTGCTTTCCCTTTTTACGCACATCTGACACATCAAGCTGCCTCATCCTTGAGAAAAGCTGGTTAAATCTGCTAGTGTCAAACAGCAGTGACTGTTCTGCAAAGGGAACTGAGGAGCTCTGTGAAGAAATTAATGCTTGTCCTTCAGTGCTCATGAGATTCCTCCAAGGAATGACATTTGGAGCTGACGCTGCTGACTGAGGCTGCTATGGAGAACAACCGTGAGGGTTCTGTTCTATTTATCCCCTGAAGAAGTTCTGGCAGTGACTAACTGATGACTTGAGTTAGTCAGACATCCACCCTTGGTAGTGATTGATAGGTGCATGAGCAAGCTTTCCATAATCCTACTTGAATAGAAACTGGTGTCATCCCGAGCTGCTACTTGCGACATTTCCCTCTTGGTTGGCCCTATGGGATGCTTCACTTCTCTCAGACCTCAACTTGGGGTGTTATAAGTAACTGTTTGTGCAGAATATTGCCTAATATTCATTCCCAGCCACTTCATTATAACTGAAATCTGGAGTATGAAAACATTGACTTGCTCCTTGCCCACTCTGCTGCATGGAAAGCCTCAGCCTGGTGCAAACCCCATTATTAAATCAGATTTTGTGCTTGAAAGAGAAAAGTTGTGCAGAAACTCTGTGCTGAGCTTCACAATGCCATTCACGGCCCGAAAGTTCAGGTTACAAAAACATCGCTTCCAAAAGCTGCTGAGAGGAACTGCGGGCACAAAAACACTCTTTGTGCAGCAGCTTTCAGCGGCCACTGATGGCTTTGCTGAGCTCCGGGAAAGGGATCCAAGTGCTCCTCACAAACCCTGGGACACAGCAGCTCTGGGAGGACAGCAATGTGGAGCACACATGCCCTCGTGTGGTTACTGCTCCTGCACACAGTCCTGCAGCTGTGGATCTACCAAAGGAGATGTCACACAGCAGAATTTATACCATTACCTCTCCTCAATCACTCCCAGAGGTGCTGAGCACACCCAGCTCACCAACGCAGCTCACAAGGCCAGACCATACACTTCGTTGCCAAAATATGGCTTAACACACCTAAATTCCAGCATCTCACAAGACTTTTCCTCTCATCTTCTGTCTTTCAATGCCTAAAAGATGCTCAGTGCCTGCCAAGAAAAGAAACCAAGAACAGGAGAGTAAAAGTGCTTGATTAAAGAGCACTAACTGCATTAGAAACCTTGAACATTGCAAGTGCCCAACACAGCTCTCCCGTGTTGCTTTTCAGGAGAAAGGGTTGCTAACTCAAGTGCCATTTTCAAAACAGGTACCAGGCTGTTTTTTCAAGGAATTGCTTCCTCCAGGGCTTCATCCTGCCCCACTGTATGGGGAGCAATGTGGGACTGGCAAACAGATCCTGCAGAGTGCAGGGCAGAGCCATCACCACGTCAGCCTCACCTGGAATGTTTGGGAAGTGAGAAACAGCTGTGATAACTGACTGAAATATTTGCATTTGACAGCAGCAGCACAGGGATCTAAAAACCTCTCCCTACCTGCTTACTCTGGCAGAAGGTCATGGCAGATTCATGGCTATGTCTGCACTCAGTTCTCTTGTTTTGGTCAGACAGAAAACACCTTATGAAAACTGGGTTTGCTTCACTTTCCTAGGTATTTATTTCCAGGCAATGCAGAAGAGCAAACATTTAGGGAACCCTGTCAAGAGCTAAATGCATTTTAGGTGCTTCATAGACTTGTCTGGCAGCAAAATGCTCTCCTGGAGGCAGAAAGACTCACCTGCAGAGCAATGGGTGTGAATATTTGTGCTTGACATGATTCCTTAAGTCATTCTCCCTCCACAACTTGGTCTCACTCCCTCCCAGCAGGATGAGGGAGAGAGTTGGAAGAGAAAAAGTGAGAAAACTCCTGGGTTGAGATAAAGGCAGTTTAATAGGCAAAGCTGCACACACAGCAAAGCAAACCAAGGGATTCATTCCCCACTTCCCACTGGCAGGCAGGGGTCAGCCAGCTCCAGGGAAGCTCCAGCACACACAACAGGCAACTTTTAGCACCTTTGAAGACAAGTAGGGCAGATAAATAAATAGGGATTTTGGATTGTCCTTTGGTTTCAAAGGCTTATCTTTGGTACAAAAGAGGATCAAGAGCATCAACAGCCATTCCTGAGCAAAGAGGGTTTGATGCAAGGCAAATATACACATTCTCTTCAGTTTGGATCTGTAAAAACCCATATTCTTTCAGAAAAGAGAAGAATATGGGGACAATGCAAAACCAGGCAAACATTACAGGTGGTTTTTAAAACAAGTGCATAGACAGGGCAGGTGAACTCCTATTGATAGCACCCTGGCCCCAAATTCCAGGCCATTAAGGGAATGTTCTCCATTCCCTTAATATCCATAAATCTCGTTCTCCACCCAGGTGGATTCCTTGCTCCTCCCCACACGATCTCCACAGAGCTCATAGATGTCATTGGTCACAAAGCCACTCTCAGTGCTGGCCAATGTCACAAAGCCACTGCTCGATGTGTTCATTGCTGCATCCTCATAGTCCCTGCAGAGGCTCCTGAGCACTTTGTCTTCCCGGGCACGGAAGGAAGAGTTCTTCATGGCAGGCCTGGTTCCAGCCAGGTCTGCCTCTGACTGCTTCCTGATGACCTGATAAATATCGAGGTCTGGGCTGTTCCCCCTGGGGTTGGACAGCCAGGGATCCTCCTCCTTTGGGGTTGTATCTAGTCGCTCCTGTCTCCTTAGGAGAGGGAAGAGGACGAGCCATAAAATGCTTTGTACAGAGGCAAATAGAAAATACAGCACCTCCTACTGTAACTGAGCAGTGACCCTTGAGGAAGCTCAGACTCAGAGCCTGAGCTTGGCATGACACTGGTTATTATTTGCCACTTGGGATATTCCTGTGGCAGGGCCTGCCTAGGGATCTCTTGGCCCCTGCTGCCAGCTGAGGGAGCAGAACTGGACACTGACTCTCCCCAAACCACAACCAGCATTTCTCCAGAGCTGCTGTGCACACAGGGAAAGCAAGGAGAGGGTGTTGGCAAACAGGATTTGCTCCAGACATGTATGGAATAAAGGATATATACATGTCCTTTCATATTTTTATACATAGAGGTATAAAATAATAAACCACAGTTCCCTTGTCCCACAAAACTGCCACTCACCTCTTTGCCAGGAGCCAGGAGCAGGAGATGGCTGTGATGATCAGCAGGAGAAGCAGCACAGGAATGCTGGGAATGAGGATGTAGGCAAGACTCTGAACGGGCTCTAGGGGTAAAAATGAGTCAGTGTGGTAAGAAATTGAAAGTTTTTCGTGCTACTCATAAACACACAAACTAAACACGAACAGTTTAGCCACTCAGAAGTGATTCAATCACAGCACCTTTTTCAGACCCCAATCCTTTGTGTAGCTTTGGATTTCAGACATTTTAAAAGCCACAACAATCACTTTAGGTTTGGAGTGGAAAGGATTTCAGGGAAGGTTCATTTTCAGCCTGGCACAGTTTGGGTCAAACATTTCCAACTGAGATGTGACTGTTTGCAGCCTCCTGTGAGCAATGTGCACCTGCACACTGAGGAGGGAACAGCTCAGGTGCACAGCTTACCTTTGGCTCCCATGGCAGTTCCATTGGCACCTTTCTCAGGGTGCTCCCCCGGGAGTGCTGGGCTCAGGGGCTCTGTGGAGACATCTGGAAAGAGGCAACTTCGTCAGTCTTGCAGATTTATTTGGGCAGAGTGTGAGAATCATGAGAAAAGAGGGTGAGGTTGAGGAGACTGAGAGCTGCAGAGGTGTGTGAGGTGTGCAGCAACTGCAGCAGGATTGTTCCTGCAGAATGGATTGGGGATTGCAGGCTGCAGGGAAGCCTCTTGCTCAGTCTGTTTTCAGTCTGGGAGTGTCCTTGACTAGGAATTTTAAGAGTATTTCTGCTGGAAGTTTGCATATCATTCCAAAAAAGCCCCAACAAATCTCTCCAACTCACCTCTGTGGGGATTCTCTGCTGGAGGATTCGTTGGCTTCTCTGGAAGAGAAGAAATGCACAATTTCCTCATAAGTTTGAGGAGGGAGACCCAATATCCTAAATGCAGTCTAACAGCATAACCATCCTTCAGTGTTCTCTCTCCCTCAAGTCCCATTTGACACTTCCAACACTTTATAAAACCCCTCTGAGAATGTATCCAAGTCCCAAGTAGCTACAGATATTAGACCCTGAGATTGTTTTCCTCAGAATCTGCATAAATTCAAAGCCATCCCTCTCCCACCAGCTCTTTCCAGCCAAGCTGAGAAAGGGCTTCCCTATGCCTTCTCCTGGGGATTGGTTTGTAAAGCCACAAAATGACTCATTACCAAGAGAATATTTGCAAATGAAGTTATTTTTCATGTTGCATCTGTCGTCATTCCATTGAAACATGTAAGGACCTCCGACACCTGGCGGGGCAGATGGCTGGTGGTACATCACAACACAGATCTCACTCCCACAGGATGGCTCATCCGCATACCAGTTCCTGAGAAAACACAACAAACGTGGCAAGGAAGACCTGACATCCCTTTGCAGGAGCTCAGATGGGAATTCAGCACAGAGGACAAGGCTCGGAGAGGGTTACAGCACACCCAACACTTCCACTGGGTGCAAGGAGGAACAAAGCAATGGAAACATTAATTCTTGGAATTCTTCCCTTGAAATTCTCATTTTTCAAAGAAAACTCAGCAAGGTGTTGGACAAATGTGAGGAGCAAAGCTCTGGGTGCCTCACTCACTGCCTCAGACTCCTCTGTGAGGCTCGGTAAAAGCTCAGGAGAACCTGAACCTTCTCCACACAATTTAGACCTGTGCAAAATCATCTGTCACCACTATTTTTGTTCTCTGGCCTCAGTGCTCAGTGGCTGCAAAATCTTGATGCCTATTTAATGAGATAATGAAAAAGCTGAAGCAGGATCTGGTTTTCTCTGTCTAGAAATGCACCAACACTGTCTTGCAGATACACTTTTTGGTTCCAATAATAAACTTCCCCTCTAGAAAACCGTGTGGGCTTTGCCAAGTGGTGCACAGGAAGGAGGATTCACTACTTAGCTCTCTAATACAATCATTGCTGAAGAGGCATTTTATTGCAGCTCAGAGAAACTTTTCTAACCTGGGTCTGGTTTTGCCAAAGGTTCAATCCCCACTGATGCTGGAACAAGGAATGCTCTGCCTGCCAAGCAGGATGAGCTGAGCCATACAATGGCAGATAGCCCTAGGTATTCCACATGGGAAAACACCCACACGTGTTAAAGCAGTGTTTTTTCAGTCATTCCAGTGCTGTATTCCTCCCTCACTTCCTTCCTCCTCTGCTGTTTGCCTTGGCTTTATCACTTAGCATAAATAAGCTGTGTCTCACCAATGAGAGGCAACAAAGCTGTGCCTGTTTCTTAGCAGCAGATCTGGTTCCAGTTTCCCTTTATCCACCCCCAATATCTGAGCCACGGGAGAAACTTTCATGTATCAATCAGTACTAAAAGCAGTTTTATTCATTCCTGCATGGAGCAACTGAAGTTTCTTATGGGCTCCCAAATCAAAAAGGGCACAATGACAAGGTAGTTTTACACCTGTCCTCTAGAAAGAAGAATTCAAGTTGGTGTCAACGTTGTTGCTTTAATATTTTAATTACAGCAAATTTTGTGGTTCTGTTTGCCCTAAGACAAGGAGGCAGAAATCGAACAGCCCTTGTGAAAATGTTAGCTCTTCATGCCTGCAATCCATACTGCAGCTCTCAGGCTTTGCTGCTATTCCTGCAGCAGGTGGAAGTGTCCATTGCTGAGGAATCAGGGACAAGCTCCAGGGGAGCTCAGTGCAGGAGCCTTCAGGTCAAAGTATGTATTTTGTACGTGTCTGATCAGAGGTTTTTGGGACCAAATCACTTGTTCTTTACCCTCTTTTTAGCAATCAAAAATGATCCACCCAGCCCAAGGTAAACACTAGGTGTCTTCCATAGAGCAACAGTCTCCAGAGTAAAGTAATTTGTCTACACCCTTAAATCTGTGTGGGATGAATCACACTCTGGACAGACTATCACTCCTCAGTGGCTGCAGAAGGAGCACAGATGGCAGCTGGGATGACCCTACTTGATCAGAGAATCAGAGAATTTTTAGGGGTTGGAATGGAGCTGAGAGATCATCCAGCCCCAACCCCCTGCCCTGGGCAGGGACACCTCCCACCAGAGCAGGTTGCTCAAGGCTTTATCCAACCTGGCTGTGAACACTGCCAGGGTTGGGGCAGCCACAGCCTCCCTGGGCAACCTGGGACAGTGTCTCACCACCCTCACAGGGAAAACTCCTTATTAATATCTGCCCTAAATTTCCCTCTTTCTCTCTGAACCCATTAACCCTTGTCCTGGCACTGCAGCTCCTAACACAAAGTCCCTCTCCTGCTCCCCTGGAGCCCCTCCAGATACTGATAGGCTACTCTGGGCTCTCCATACAACCTTCTCTTCTCCAGTCCCTGCCCAGGTTCCTTCCCAGCATCACTCACAGACACTCACCTGAACGTGGCTGAGCTGCCATCCGACCAGGAGTAGAAGTTCTGACACTCTGTACTATTGTCTTCCTCCTCCTTCTTCCTCCTGAGCCCTATCCAAAAATCTCCATCAGAAGCTAAGAGACTCCTGATAAATCTCTCGATGAGTCTTTGCTCTCCTTCTGTCTCGATGCTGACGAGGTGTCCCCCATCAGCCCTGCAGGCCCCGTGGGCTTCTTCATAGCTGGTTCTGCGGGAGGCATCGTGAAAATACACGATTTTGTAGCAGGGTTTCTGTGTTCCACGGCGGCAAACTGTCTGCCCTGCAGCGAGGAGAGAGACCTGTCACACAAACCCTGCCCGGAGGGACCAAACTGGAATGTTAAGCCTTCCACTGGGATGAGTTTTGCACTGTTCATATGGAAAACACAACACAGGGAAGACCCTCTTGTAATACTGGAGTGACAATTGGCATCTCCAAACTGTTCTTGCTGGATTTAACCGTTTAACTCCTCAGCTCCTGCATTATTTTTCTGGGATTTGCAGGTCCCAGGAGCTCCTCACAGAGAAGCAATGCTGATGTGTGACTTTTGAACAGAGTGTTCCCTTACAAGGGCTTAAAGAGGCTTTTAGAAGTTATTGTTTTTAAGGAATTAAATGGGAAAAATTAGATATCCACTTACACAAGGTGAGACAGCAAGAATTTATCTTCTGGAGTGTATGGAATAGTTTTATGGAGTCTCTATTGCAGTGTCATAGAATTCCAGACTGGTTTGGGTTGGACCTTAAAGGTCATCTTTGTCCATGGGCAGGGACACCTCCCACCAGCCCAGGTTGCTCCAAACCCCATCCAACCTGGCCTGGAACACTCCCAGCCACAGCTGCTCTGAGCAACCTGTGCCAGTGCCTCAGCACCTCACAGGGAAGAATTTATCCCTAACATCTAACCCTCCTCATTCAGCTTTCAGTGTCTGTCCTGTGGACATCAATCTGTGTTCCCACAGCCCAATTTCAAGCATTGCTCTGTGCTGTGTAATGCTGTGACTGCCCAGGAAGTAAACAGTGTCTGTTTTGAGGCTGTCAGAAGCCAAGGACTTTCCCATGCAGAAGCAGCACAGCTTATTTTGGTTACAAGGAGAGATCAAAGTGAAAAGACACATCATCTAAAATTATGCACTTATATGTTTCTCGGCAGAACAGTCCCAATATTTAGACTGTGGAAACAAACAGTTTTGTTTGAGTCAGTAAATATTTCTTTGCAGACACAATCTGCTAACCTACATGTTTTGTGCAGAGCAAAAACACTCAGCAACAGTTGCAATTTACTTGGAACGAGTGGGATAGGAGGACAGAGCATTGCAAACCTTTCCATGGGCTATTTGCTGCCTTTGCTTTTCTCTTCTCTATATTCCTGCACAGCTACTCCAAGAGTGGGAGTTAAAACACCTTTGCTACTGGAGTTTTGAGCAGTTAAGTAGTCAGAATCAGAGTTTGATGACATTTTACACAGACATTACATCTGGAACAGGTTGGATACTACCACAACAGCATTAAAAACTACATTTCTAGGCATAACCTGTATTTCTCTTGACAACTCAACACTCATGCAGGTGTAGGCAAAGTCCTTACCTCTCCTGAGGGATATGTCCACTGCTGTTGTGAGAGGCATAAGAAAAACACAGACAGCAAGTTGTTACCAAAACTTTCAGTAACTGTCTAGAAATAGTGTCACAAACTGCACTCAGAGTCTTTTCTGATGCACAAACACATTCTTTCCTCAAGAACTGGCAGAAAATCTCTTCCTTATCAGCCAAACTTGCCATTGCTTTCAGCTAAGGAATTGGAGTTGATTACTGTCTGGACGTCCCTGCTAGTTAAGATCCTAAACACAGTTTAGCTAACAGAGGACACTCTAGTTCTAAGCCAAGCTGAAAGGATTCCTTGTCTTTCCCCTTATCTCTTCACTTCCTACACGGGATCTGTTCCAAGAGCTGCTGAGCAGTGAGCTCCTCAGGGCTCCCCAGTGCTCCCAGCACAGAGCTGGCTCTGCTGGCAGCCAGAAGGGGAAAATTATAACACCAAATCCCTCCAAACCCCTCAAACCCAACCTTGACCCGAGCACCACCGCACGCACATCCCTGCCCGTATCGCGACATAGAATCGTAGAATCAGAGAATCGTGGAATCAGAGAATCAAACAGGTTGGAAGAGAAAACCCCAGCGAGCCAACCCCTACCGTGGTCACTAGCCCATGGCACTAAGTGCCACATCCAGTCTCAGCTTGAAAACCTGCAGGGATGACTTCTGTCCCTGCATCCCAGGGGCGAACAGCCAGCGGAGCTGCCGCGGCTTCCCGGGGAAGGGGGGACGGTCCCGGGGCTGTCACCCCGCGGTCTCTGCGGGCAGGGGCGATGCTCCCTGTGGCTGTCCCCGCGATCCCCGCA